AAGGCTAACCACCTACTCAAGTACAGGCCACTGGACACTACCACCAACCATCCAGAACACGGTGAGATGAAGAGCTCTACCAGAAAATTGCTTGGCAACCGATAAAACTTGAGCCACTGAAAACAGACTAACACGGAAATAAACCTACTAATCCTACAGAAAAAAAAACTTAGAACTAAACTGCTCCAGCTCCACTTAAACACCACTAAGCATCCTCAAGACCAAAGCCTTAACCCTCCTCAACCCCTGATAGTCACGCACCAACCTAAAAAAAATTCTGGATAAGCAAAACTTGAGAACACAATAACATTTGTGAATCCAACCCTAGATGCTACTCGGCTACTCTTCTATAGAAAAAAACACACACAGAACCTCACCATAGTGACCCTCAATCTGCCAAGAACCTTACCCAAGCAAGGAGAATGAAAGATTAGCCACAAACACCAAAGCAGAAACCGAAGGAGGACCTAAATACTCTCACTCATACATAATATTCTAAACGGACAATAGACTGTAACACTATGGCATTAACACAAACATGTATAATGTCAAAGAATATAAGCCATGTATAGCATCCGCTATCAATCTCAGCTGTGAATTTGTCTTTCTTGTCGATATATAAACCATGTACAGACGTATAATTTTATGTTAGATGAGATGAACTTATAAAATTTTAAAAAATGAAAATAAATAGAAAATATAAAAAAAACTAAAATTTAAAAAAATTAAATTTTTAAGAAGGCAACCTCACCTACCTGTTCCTCTCGATCCATCCCTATTTAAAATTTTTCATGTTATCTATCATATCTAAAGTTCGATTGATGCCATTAAAATCTGATTCTTCCTCTGGAAATGAGGGTAGGACACATAACAATCTCCCATGCTCATCCTTTGATAAATCATCGGTTGTCTTCAGCTTTAAACATTGGAGTATCTTTCTCTCTTATATTTAAGGTGTTTATGGAGTAGGAAAGATCTGTTACTCGAATTTGAAAAAATTATTTTATGGTATATTTCCATCAAGTTATCAATAGTCCCAACCAATTAAAAAAAATTCACATCAATATTTATTTCTATGTCATATCAATTAATTAAAACACTTCCCAAAAGAAAATCTGTCAAATTTACCCGCACTCATTGACTTTCCTTGCTCAAATATCCATTGCCTTGGTAATAATTCTTTCTTTAAAAATTTCCCTTTTTGTTCAGCTTTGTTTTGCATCTAATTTCTTTTAATGATTCTAGACCCCCAAAAGCAAAAGGCAGTGAAATTGTAGACGTGAGAATGGTAATCCAAATAGGCTGCACTTGACGAAGGAGCTAACTCAAATCCAAAAAGCTAGCTGAGTTTTGCCAGATCCCGGGACTACTTGAAAACGTCCCTCAACTTCTCTAGATATGTAGCAGCAGCGGTGGATGCAACAAAAGCAGATTCGACTTCTACTTGTGATGCTTCAAGAAATAATTTAGGTGGTGAAAGTTTAAATATCAAATGAGAGTGTTCATTTGGATTTTATCTTTGTATCCTTTAGAGTTGAAAGTAGAAGTCATCATGGCCGTAATGTTGATAATGAGAATGACAAAGATAAGAGTATTTTCCTTTGTAATTGGGGTCAACAAGAACATTAAGAAGAATAGTTCAAATTTTGTGTCTTTTGTAGATGTGAACCAAAGAAGAATCATGTCAATAGAAAGGTTCATTCTGTATTGACTTCAACTTTAGGAAGAGGTAATTCTATTAATTTAACTAAATGAGGGAATGTCTTTGTTGGTTCAACTTTTAGTCCAACATGCTTCTACTTTAGTAATAAAATGCAATAGTGGTAAATTGATATAGATATTAGTGCTTCGAATTGGATAATATATTAATCGGTTTGTATCTCATATGTCACATCATATTTATTTTTTTTGTTTGATTTTCACTGCAGTTAAAGTTAGTTGTCGTTTGTATTTTTCGTGTTATCTTAAGTTCTAAAAATGTGCCATTTTTTTGCTTGCTTCCAAGTTGTGATATTTTATTTAGTATTTGTGCTGCACAAAATATACAGTAACTATCATTTCATGTTTCTTTTTTGGGTTTGTTGAAGCATATAGCTTTCATGATAATAGGTAGCTTTTGAAGCTAAATTCATTCTTTGTTTTCATGCATCTGCACCATTTTCTAGTACAATTAAATTAAATGAGAGAATACTAACAAATTGTTAGTCTAGTGGGATGAGACACTAGATTTCTTAAACAAAGTCGGGAGTTTAAACCTTGACGTTTGCGAATAGAGCAAACTGGGTTACAGAGTTATCCTCACATCTGTAATACCCGATCTAAATTAATCGATTAGTAGATTGAAAAGAATATAAAATACAAATAATGATAACGCGATAACCCTTCATATATATATATATATAACACCACATAATACTTATTTATGACCTTCGGGTCACCATTTTCACGTCTGCAATTTCACTGCTTTTTGCTTTTTGGGTCTAGAATTAGTAAAAGAAAATAGATGCAAACAAAAAAAGGGAATTCTTTTAAAGAAAGAATTATTACAAAGATAATGGATATTGAAAAAGGAAAGTCAACGAATGCAAGTAAATTTGACAGATCTTCTTTGAGATGTATTTTAATTAATTGATATTATTATGTGTAAATTTGGGAATTTGATTGGCACAAGTATTTTATATTAATTTTTAAGTTATTCCATATATTCTGTGGGTCCTTGAAGGATCATGTCCTTATAAACATGTTTGAATATCTGTTGAAGAAAGAGTATTTAAAATGGAAAGCTGGAGTAGTATTTAACATGTCATGATTTTCATGCAGACATTATTTAATATTGACCTGAACCATTGAAACTGTTCTTTCTGTTAAAAAATGGAGGGCGTAAGAAGGAATATTGAAATCTGTTAAAAAAGAAATGACCGGAGAGTAATATAGGTATTTATTTCCCATTCGTTTGAGGAACAGACTCACGTAATGCAACCAACAAACCATGTACTGTGAAAGTTTTGGTTTTTTCGTATGTTTTTTTATTTTGTTAAATGTATTGGTAACTCACTGAGTTCTTCGATTTCATTGATTGTAGAACTTGTTGAGCTCTTATTCATTCTCAGTTATGCTGTATTTGCTACTTGCATTTTTTGGCTTTCTGGTAGATAAACAAAATCACAATGCCTATAAGATAAAAGCCAATGTTTGACATACCGTAATTCTTTTATAATTATATAGAAAATTATATAATACAAAAGTTGTGTAAACTTGAATTTAAACAAACTTGTCTATTTTAAGGTTTAAAGTATAAGGTTGTAGGGCTTACAAATTATAGTTTAGGGTTCGAGTCTATAATATATAATTTAGAGATTTAAACTTAATGCTGACCGCCTCAGCTTTGGCTAACCATCAAGATTCTTAAAGGACATCCGCTTGATCAATCTGTTCTGAGGTGAATAGTGGTTTATACAAAAAAAAAATCAGATTTTAACCCATGAAATATGCTCTGAAGCATTGATATCATGAAACAGAGTTGAACAGATTTATATATAACAGGGTTTTAAATAGCGTTCGCGGTCACATTTTCGGTCGCATCGCGTTTATCGCGGTTGCGGAAATAACGGATGCCATCGCGTTCACTGCGGGTGTCGCGGTCGTGAATTTTTTAAAATTTTGCACAACTTATCTTAAAACATAATAAAAATAATTATAATTATAAATAATCATTTTTAAAGATTTTTAAAATTTTTTCTAATCGAAATTAACATATATATAATATAGTTTAACCAAATAGAAGACTTTAAAAATACGATGATAGGATAAGATAATTAATTAACGATGACATTGTGAATACATTATTATTTAAAACAAATAATACTATCAACATATGAAAATCTAATAAATTAAAATTGATAAAAATAAGTTTTGCTATAACTATGAGATAAGAAATTATTTACCATTTATCAAAAAGTTATCCTTCACTGAAAAACTCAAGAATAATGTATATATATCTCAAATGTAAGCAAAAAGAACAACACATATCTCATGCGATAATTAAAGTAAGAAAACAATCTTCATTAAAGCAAAAGCATAAAAGTACGATGTACAATAATTAAAACAACACATACCTCATGTAACATAACTATGTTAAGATGTACAATACTTAAAACAACACATACCTCGTGCAAGCAACCTAACTATGTCAAGATGTTCAACAATCTTCATTATGGATGTCTCTCTTTTAATCTAAAACCAATCAAACAACGTAAATTAAAATCCAAAAAATGCTAACTAATTAAATGTCATAGAAACATAGATTCTTTTGGTAGGCCAAACATACCTTAGAAATGGGGTGGTAACAGTTTCACCAATTAGTGGAATAACGAGGAAGATCAGATCCTTCACCTTCACTTTGAGAGTGATCTCCACTTGATCTCTGTGGTCTTTGTCCAAAAATATATCCAAAAAATGTAACATTTTCACCTTGATTTTCAAATAATTGAGATGGAGGATATACTTGAGGAGGAGGATACATGTGAAGTGGAGGTGGGTGATACATTGGTGGCGGAGGGTACATTTGAGGCTGATATGGCACACCATAATTAGGATATGGTGGATAAAAACCATGTGGAGGTTTAAAATATGAAGATTGTCCCTGTGGATAAAAACCATGAGTGCTAGTAGATGAATTGTTATACCCAGGGAAGTCGATCTTCTACCGGAAGAAGAACCTTCAGAAGTATGTTTTCTGGTGTCTTTCCCTTTTCCTTTTGATCGAGCTCTTGGTTCATTTCTTTCTCTACTAGATGAAGCACGAAAATGTCCACTACCTGTATAAACATATTCTTCTCCATACCGATCAGAAGATCTAAATTCAGCTCCATCACCACTATGTCTATCATCGTCATCAATTGGATTTAAACCACCACCATCTGGCCCATCACCACTTTGACTTGGTGTTGCACTAGAGCTTGAATGAGATAAATTTTGTTGTTGAGATTGATCATCAACATTCATTTCATCATCTGAGGTATCCACAGCAACACACCAGCATTTTCACCATCTAATAATGGATTCTCTTTCTCTTGAAGCCATTCTAACAGTGAATCAACATCTTCAAAGATGTTATCAAGGCTTATAGGATTGTAACTAGCGTTTATATCATCAATACTCATTCTTTTTTGATGCCTTATTTTAAGTCTCATATTATAATAGGTAAACACTAGTTTCTCAAGTTTTTTGTACTTCAACCTGTTTCTTGCTTTGGTGTGAATATAGCTGAATGTGCTCCAATTTCGTTCACAATTTGATGCAGAAGTTGTTTGACTAAGCACTTTAGTTGCTAATCGTTGTAATTCAGGAGTACATGTGCCATATATCATCCACCACTCAGCTGCATAATATTATTTAAATTTCAAACTAACATCAAAATGTACAAATATAATTAAATAATATAAAGTAAATAATATAATTAACTATTTACCTGGATTCATTTGATTCCAAGCTCTTTGTGCCTGTGGAGTACCAAATGTCTAGTGTTTACTTCGAAATAGTAACAACTTCATAAATAAAAGTTTAAGTTAAAATGAGAAAAAAATATTTCAATTTCAAATTATTTAACTAAGTTACAAATAATAGTACTTGAATGAATCTAACCTGATTAACCATTCTGATTTGATTATCAATAGAAGGTTCTAATCTTTCAATCATTGATCTTGTTCCTTCTAATGTTTCTGCTAATACATTCTCATAATGCTCCACCCCAAATTGAAATTGAGGATTGAAAAAATAAGCTAATCATAATTTATGCTCAAATGATAATAATATAAATTATAAAACTTAAAATAAAAAATAAAAAATAACTCTTAATTATATGATATATTTTATCTTACCAGCTGAATGCAAGTCGGAATGCATAAAATTCCATCTATTATCAATAATTCTTTCAAACTCGATGGAATATCGACAATTTTCCTTAATTGCTCGTTTAGCTCTATCAATGGCCTCATAAATAAAACCAATTGTTGGTTTTTCATCACCGTCAATAAGCCTTAGCACTTTGACTAGGAGTTCGTAAACTTTTATGATATCAACGGATTTTTTCCAAAAATCTTTTCCCAAAACAATTTTTTTGGCTTCATAAGCAGGCCCTGATTTTTGTTGTCCCCATTTTGATTCTCTGAATTCCTAAATTTTAATAAGAAAAAAATCAATAACATAATTTAACTTATTTAAAAATTGGAACTAATAAAATCATTAAATATTGTTATATTTGAGTAATCAGTAAATGTATTAACTAATTATAAAATACTGACCTTTGACTTAAACATCTCTCTCAAACCTTGTTTTTGCCTTGTTATCTCCTCAAGCTGTATGAAATGAGTAGCGAATCGAGTAAGAGCAGGGCGAAGAATTTGCTTACCGTGAGTATACTTCTTCATCAAATCAACGGTCCAAATGTGATTATATATGAAGCATATCACTTTCTTCGCTTCCTCTAACACTTTTGCTACACTAGACTTTTTTCCAATATCCTCAAGACATAAATCTAAGCAGTGAGCTGCACATGAGGTCCAATAAAGATGGTTTCTTTTCAACATTAATCTTTTCCCAGCGGCTTTCATTGCTGCCTCATTGTCGGTCACTATTTGGATAATGTATTCTTCCCCAATTTCTTCAACAACTTTGTCTAACAAATTATAGTAGAATTCAGCATCTCTACTACGAACGCTCGAGACATCCACAGATTTCCAAAATACGGTTCCTTTACTACAATAAACAAGGAATTTGATGATGTGCATTTGATTTAAACTATTGGTCCAACCATCACACATCAGAGTTGCACCCAGTTGTTTCCAATGCGTCTTCAGTTCATTTACCCATTCACGAACTTGTTCATACTCCGATGTCAAATACACATCTGAAATCTCATAAGGTGTTGGGAGCTTTATACCTTTTCCAACTTCCATTGATACTTGAATTAAGTTATACAACCAAGGCGAGCTTGCTAATCGAAAAGGAAGGCGATCGTATATTATAAATTTCGAGACCGCTTCACCCATCTTTTTACGCAATGTCTTTAAAATAGACTCGCTAACCTTTGGTTATCTTGAGCTTTTGCTCTTAACCAATTCAGGTATAGATCCCCTTAAACTAAAATCAACTATTTCTTCACGATATCTTCCACGTGATCCAAGAGAAGAAGATCACCCTTCTTCATAAATGTTATCCCAACCACCTGTACTCCATCTGAATTCTTCTCTTCTATGCCATTCGTGTTGTGATTGAATACTTTCTTGAGTGGCTTGTCTCATAGCAGAAACATCATCTACGAATTCATCCTCTTCTTCCCTTAATTGTGATAAGAATTCATTTGTTCTCCCTTTTTTGTCCATTTTCTTTTCCTTGGCTTCTTTAAGTAATTTCATCATGCTTTCTCTAATGATACCTGTAATCAAATAAATATAATTCACACTATTAATAATGTATAATATTTTATTATTAATATTTAAAAATAATTATAAAGTATCTTTTTTCTAAAGAAATTATAAAGTATCACTATCACATATTCACATACCAGTGACATTAGGACATGGTGCGACTTCACCAGTTTTATGAGCATGTGCTCTTTAAACCGTGTTATTCCTCCTTTCACAACTTTGCCACAAAGTTTACATACAACATTTCCTTTCGTATTTGGAACTGGATCTCCAAAGTGCCAACCTATATCTCTACTCAATACACCTTCTAATCCTTCAGTCAGAAACTTTTCAATACGTGGTGGCATGCTTCACTTTCAATAAAAACTGAAATTAATATACGTAAAGTTAAACAAAATATAATTTTCTAGCTTGTAAACAAAAATATAAGTTAAACTGAAATTAAATAAATATATTACAATATTAGAAATTTAGAAGGTTTAGAACCTAGCTTGTAAAACAAAATTTCATAAGTGTTGCATGAAATAATTTTACCTATTTTCTTTTTTTTTTAATATAACTCACACTCATTGAATGTAGTTAGCTGTTTCATTTAATTTCAAAACTATATAATAAAAATAGAAATAAAATATTTGAAGTGTGACAGAGAATTTTTGCTTACAAAAGTAAAGTAGTAATTATTGTGGCATCTAATTTGTCAGATAATCAATGAGAAAAGGAGAAATAATAAATTATTTACTGTGGCTCCAGTTCACAGGCAGTAGTAACACGTAGGGATGTGCATGGGTCAGGTTTTTGGTCCACCCGACCCGACTCGAGAAGAAGGGGACTTCTACCCGTGACCCGACCCGACGAAATTTGATTTTTCACCCGACTCGATCCGACCCAATAGTCAGTTTAAAAAGTCGACCCGACCCGACCCTATTTATTTTTTTATTTATTAAAACCCACAATTTTTTTAATTTAAAATATAAAAAATACTTAAAATAATCGTTAGAAGCCACACCCTAATATCACTCGGTCTGCCTCGATGACTCTGCCATAAAAAAGCTGTCGCTTGCTTCTACACTTTGAAAACCAGACCCAACAACAGCCCCAAAGACCCCGTTTGCTCGTATGCATTCCTCGTAGATTGCATTGACGTTTGGTAAATAAAAAAGAGTTAAAAGCATAAAAAAACATGAAAATGAGTTAAATAGCTAAAATAATCGTTGGAACTGAAAAAGCATTTAGTGACAGTTAAGCAATCACACTAGCCTCATTAAATAAACAATTAAAAATGCAGACCAAGTACAAATAAGATAACCCTATCTCATTTATTAAACAAACAAAAAAGTGAAGACAATCCAATAGTTTCAGGCCACGATTTGCAGATGATAAATAACTTGGAAGCCACGCCCTAATATCATGCTTGCCTATTATATTCACCTCCATCGGGAACCATGAAAGTTGCCGACAAGCTTAGTTTTGTTTTGATGGTTCCTTCATCTTTTTCTTTTATATTTTGAAATGATAGAAAATGCTACGCATTAGCATTACGGGGAAAGAAAAAAAAGTAAAATAATTATTATTATTATGCATTAACTATTCAGGTCGGATCGGATAGGATTATTTTAATCTTAAACCCGACTCCGACCTGACTCTGAATATTTTAATATAAAACCCAACACGACCCGATCTGACCCTGAATTTTTTTTAAAAAAAGCTGACCCAATCGGGTCGGTCAGGTTCGAGTTTCATGCCCATCCCAAGTAACACGATGGTAGAGTGCACGCATGATCAAGTGAACATATATAAATTATGATGAATTTTTTAATATATGTGAATTTTTATAATATAGTTCTCAAATTTGGATTATTAAAACCGTGATTCGTATTCAATATGGAAAAAAACGAATATTCAAATTTTCGGATCGGATATCTAAATCTAAATATAAACTTTAATTTAACAAAAAATAATTTTAAATTTAATAATTTGTGATTTTATACAATTTATTATATATCTATATTATATATATTTATCAAAATATGCTTGAACAAAATAAAAATTTCTTATTATGTCATTTCAAAGCTTAAAAAAATAAATAATTTAAAAGGTTTAAAAGGAAGAAGAAAGAACTCACTGGATTCAATTATTCAATCTGCAAGCATTAAGACATTCCAATTTTAAAGCCAATTGGGTAGTGGTTAGGCGTTGACCATTTCAATTTACAAGCTAACTGGCTAGTGGCTGGGGCATTGGGTATTTTAATTTTTTAGTTGGGGACGGGCTATTTGGCTATTTGTAAATTATTTTAAGGGTTCATTTTTTATTAGATATTTGGATGATTCATGTCTAATCAAATGTGTAATTTTTTTTACATATTATCATTATTATCAAGAAAAACAAATCAAATATCCAAGTATCCAACTTCCAAGAGATGTCCCGAGAAGTTTCTCAGCTATTCCCACTCTCAGTTCTCACTTCTCTCAAAGCCATCTTCTTCGTTTCTTCTCATTCACATTCCCCAATTAAATGTTTTTCATTTTTCACCCCACCTATTTCAGTCTTGCATGTTCAAAATCAAAACCTCAAATCCCCTAGTGAAGATTTCATCTTCAATCTTCCTAAACTAAGCAGCAAAAAAATACCTTCTTAAATGGAAGTGGGAAACTTGATGCCTTGATCTACTCCTTCACCGGCGGCGAAGCTCGACGGACAGAAGACTTCCTACTGACTGGGCTTTGTTTTTTCGACTCTTCCCCTTCTCGGTTTATTTTTGGCAAGATGTGTATTGTGTGGGTATTTGAGTTCACGGTTGATTAAATAACCTATTTTGTTTTGTTCCACTCCCTACTCTGGTTGTAACTTGTAAGTAATTTTTCTTTCTTTTCAGTTTTCAGTTCACTTTTCACTATACTTATGGGCTCACAAGTTGCAGGGAATATATTCCCTTCATTTTCTTTTTTGTTTTCTATACGATGAGTTGATGATTGCAGTGCATTTTGATTTTTGTATTTGTCTTGGAATCACGATTGAATAACGGTGATTGCGTCCTGTTATCGGCACAATCGTCCGTTTCCCGTTAAATTTCAGACGCATTTCATCGCGATCGGTGTGAATCCGTGACCCACCGCAAAAACCACAAATAGCGGTTTCGGACGGTGGCACGACCGCAATATTGCGACTGCTATAGCGTTTTCAGAACGCTATTTGATACCCTGCTCAAGTGTAGCTTGCGTAAGGATGCAAGAAGCAAGGTATCCAGTTTCCTTTTCCCTCGGATCCCACTTTCGTTTCGCTTAAAGATGGGACTTAAGTTGAAGACTGCAAGAGAGAAATTAGGTGTCATTGCTGGGGAGAAAAGCAAGTTCCACTTGACACAGGGTGTGGGAGAAGTAACGACTCTGAGGAATGAGAACAGACAAACCAGCTCCCTCGTGAACGAATCGGAAGTATTGGGTAGAGTATATGAGAAAGAGAAGTTGGTTAGTATGTTACTTTGCGATGCGAGTCACCATGATGATCTCTCTGTTTATGCAATCTGCGGCATGGGAGGTCTTGGAAAGACCACACTTTCTCAGTTGGTATACAATGACGAAAATGTGGCAAAAGCCTTTGATTTGAGAGTTTGGGTGTATGTATCGGATGATTTAAATATTAAAAGGTTGACTCAAGCCATTCTGGAATCCATTGAAGGGAACTCGTGCAACATCCAAGAGCTAGATCCCCTGCAGCAGCGCTTAGTTGAAAAGCTTGTAAGGAAACGATTTTTACTTGCACTGGATAATGTGTGGAATGAATGCCCTGACAAGTGGGATGTCCTGAAGCAACCGCTATGGAGAGGAAAAAGAGAAAGCACGGTCGTTATCACTACTCGAGCTGAGAAAATTACTCTAATGACGGCCGGAGATATTCTTCATCGCTTGCGATGCTTGTCAAATGATGATTCCTGGTCTTTGTTCAAGCAAAAGGCCTTTGGGAGGGGAATAAATGAGGGTAATGTGATCCTGGAAATAATTGGGAGGGAAATAGTGCGGAGATGTGGAGGTGTATCACTGGCAATTAAGGCCTTATGAAACATATTGCGTTTCAAAAGTTAGGAAAGTGAATGGTTGCTTGTAAAGACAGTGGGATATGGGATTTGGACAATGAGGGAAAAAGAATCTTTGAAGTGTTGAGGTTAAGCTATCAATATCTTCCATCATATATGAAACGGCTTTTCTCATTTTGCTCAATATTTCCCAAAGATTCTGTCATGGAAAGGACGAACTGATAGCACTATGGATGGCAAATGGATTTATTCCTCCTAGTTGTCCACCGTTGGATTTGCACGATACAGGTTGTGAAATATTCTCTGAATTAACTAGGGGGTCTTTTTTCCAAGAGATCAAAGAGAAGGTCATGTAAAATGCATGATTTGATCCATGACCTAGCAACACAGATTATGGGACATGAGTGTTGCATGATTGATCTCGATAAGAGGCAGATTGAGCCCAATGAGAGGCTGGAAATCCTAGAAACTGCTCGTCACTTGCTTGTTCCTTATGACTTTTCATCACCAAAGGTTATGGACTTGACTGAACTGCCATTATTGCATTCTTTGATCCTATGCGGCAGGGACACCTTCCCTGGTAACCTCTTTAATCCTTCCCAGTTCATTAGAGTACAAAAGAATATGAAGGTGTTGCATTTTGTTTATGGATTTAGCAGTGTTGCATTTAAAAGTTTGAAACACCTGAGGTATCTACGCCTCGAAGATAGATTGAAAACTCTACCTGAATCAACAAGCTCCCTTCATAACTTGCAGACGCTGAATCTCCGCTCTTGTTGCTTTCTTGAAATGTTACCAAAAGGCATGAAGCACTTGAAAAATCTTAGGTATTTAGACCTCAGGCGTTTCAATTCACTAACTTGTATGCATGCTGGATTGGGACAATTGACATGCTTGTGCAAGCTAAGCAAATTCATTGTGGGAAAGGACAATGGTTGTGGCATTGATGAGTTGAAAGAGTTGGCCCTAGAGGGAAAATTGAGCATCAGTGGACTTCACAACGTGACGAGTTCAATGGAAGCTAAAAATGACAATTTGATAAAGAAGCAAAATTTAAGATCATTAACCTTATCTTGGTAAGTAAACAAAACGGAATGCACTCGTCATGAACATGGAAATGAAGAGGAGATTCTTAATTTTCTCCAACCTCATTTAAGCTTGAAGTAGTTATGCATATTTTATTACCAAGGTGCTAGCTTTCCGAATTGGATTATGGATCTGCTTCTACCAAACCTTGTTGAAATCTAAATAAAAAATATCGACAGGTGCGACCAACTTCCACCTCTATGGAAATTATGCTTCCTCAAAGGTCCTTACTATTGGAGGAATGGGTGCTCTCAAGTATATTGACAGTTGAGATATGGGAAGTTCTTATCCATCACTCGAGGTTCTCAATATAAGACGGTCACCATGTTTGGAGGAATGGATGGCAGTGAATGGTGTGTTGGGAAATAAAACGAGTACGAGTAATTTCCCTATAACCAGATTAGTGAGAATGCGAAATAAAAGCGGAAAAATAATACCTGAAATTGATAACGGAGTTCAACCAATTATGCCCACGTCTCCAGACTGCTGCAGATCTTTTACTAAAGAGAGAAAATTTACAGGTGTTTACAAAACACTCACTACTCACAAGAAATCTCTCTAGTATTGGGAGAAAGAAATGATTTGGGATGATTTTGAAGCTAAATGAGCTAAGGTATTTATAGTTGAAGCTTAAAGACTAATCTTGTAAATACCCTAAGTGTGCAGGGACTAAAATGCATTTTCTCCATTTTTATTTTCAACAAAATTTTCCCACTTGCACCGAAAGATCCTTCTTCTAGCAACCCACCGAAAAATTGCTTAATATTCAACAATTGTTTCAACATTTGTTGGCGCCACTTGACTTTAACAATCTCCCACTTGAAGACTGGTTTTAATCTGTCTTCACACCTTGATCAATGCAGCAACATTTTTGGTCTTGTTACTCTAACATGCCAACTGAAGTTAAACACATCTTTAGTTTGTTCGTAGTCAACGTTTTTGTCAACATATCTGCCGGATTTTGAGCTCCACTAATCTTTTCAAGTTTCAAAATCCCATTTTTCAGAAGAGACCGGATAAAATGATATCGCAATTATATGTGCTTCGTCCTGGAATGAAAAAGATGAATTCTTCGCTAGATGAATAGCACTTTAACTATCGCAATACAATACATTGTTTTCTTGTTTCTTGCCTAACTCTTTCAAGAAACTTTGGAGCCAAACCATCTCCTTGCTGGCTTCCGTAACAGCGACATATTCTGCTTCAGTTGTGGAGAGAGCAACTATCTTCTGTAGTTGAGAAACCCAACTCACTGCGGTTTCTCCTAGAGTATAGACATACCCTGTGGTACTTCTTCTGATGTCAACATTTCCGGCTAAGTCAGCATCTATATAGCCTATTAGTATCGTATATCCACCTTTGAAACAAAGTGCTTTATTTGTAGTACTTCGTAGATATCTAAGGATCCATTTGACTGCTTCCCAGTGTACCTTGCCTGGATTATTGATGTACCTGCTAACAGCTCCCACTATATGAGTAATATCTAGTCTAGTACAAACCATGGCATACATCAGACTTCCAATTGCTGAGGAATACGTCACCTTCACCATATGTGCACGTTATTCCTTTGTCTTTGGTGATTGTTCTTTGGAGAGTCTAAAATGAACACCTAAAGGTGTACTTACTGGTTTAGTATCTTGCATGTTGAACCTGGAGAGTACTTTGTTGATGTACTCAGCCTGTGATAACATTAAAGTCCCCGACTTTGTGTCTCTCTTAATCCTCATCCCAAGAATCTGGTTTGCAGCGCCCAGATCTTTTATTGCAAACTGCTTCGACAATTTTTGCTTCAAGTTTATAATCTCTTACAAGTTTGAGCTTGCAACGAGCATGTCATCAACGTACAACAATAAAATAATGAAGTTGTTATCAAACTTCTTGATGTAGCAACAATGATATACTTGGCATTTGGTAAAACCACTGCTACTCATGAAACTATCGAACTTCTTGTACCACTGCCTAGGAGCTTCTTTTAAACCATACAAACTCTTCTTTAACCTGCATACCAGGTTTTTCTTGTTTGCCTCTATGAAGTCTTCTGGCTGCCTCATATAGATTTCTTCCTCAAAATCACCATGAAGGAAATTTGTCTTCACATCTAATTGCTCAAGATGTAGATTCTCTGCAGCTACAATTTTCAACACCAGTCTGATTGTAGACAGTTTCACGACTGGAGAGAAAATTTCATTCTAGTTAATACCTTCTTTTTGCTGAAAACCTTTGACAACCAATCTTGCTTTGTAGCGTTTTCTCCCATCGTGCTCTTCTTTGATCTTGTAAATACACTTGTTATGGAGCGCTTTCTTGCCTGGTGCTAATTCAGTTATTTCCCACGTCTGTTTGACATAAGCGAGTCCATCTCATCTTTAATGGAAGACTCCCACTTGACTGAATCCTCCATTTGCATTGCTTCATCATAGCACTCTGGTTCACCATTGTAAGTCAACAACAAGTAGTGCAAAGAAGGAGAATAACGCTGGGTTGGTATATGAATTCTGGTGGAGCGTCTTAGTTCCGGTGTGTCTGGTTCTTCTTGAACTACTTCAGGACTGATCTGAACATCATTTCCAGAAATATTCTCAAAATCAGCAAATTCCTCTATTTCAGTTTCGGTATTAGTGCTACTTGATTCTATGGTTGATCTGTCTTTGTACATTACATTCTTATTGAAAATGACGTCTCTATTTCTGATGATCTTTCAATTTTCATAGTCCCAAAACCGATAACTGAACTCGTCACCACCATAACCAACAAAGAGACATTTGTTGGACTTAGCATCAAGTTTACTTCTTTCAGCAGAGTTTATGTGTACATAAGAAATACAACCAAACACTCTTAAGTGTGAAAGGTTTATTTCTTTATCGCTCCAAAATTCCTCCGGTATTCCACCATCCAAGGGAACTGAGGGCCCACGGTTGATCAGGTAAGCTGCAGTGTTGATAGGTTCAGCCCATAGCAATTTTGGCAAGCCAACATGTATCCTCATGCTTCTTGCACGTTCATTCAGAATTTTGTTCATGCGATCTGCTACGCCATTCTGTTGCGGTGTCATGGGAATTGTTGTCTCCATCTTGATCCCATTATTTGCGCAGAAATCTCGGAATCTACTGTTTCTGTATTCTCCTCCATTATCAGACCTCAATCGCTTGACTTTCAAACCAGTCTCATTTTCCACCATGGCCATCCATTTTTTGATGATATCAAAGACTTCTGATTTCTTCTTCAGAAAATAAACCCACACATTCCATGTAGAATCATCGATGAATGTGACATAATATAGTGAGCCTGCAAGAGATGGAACTAGAGATGGTCCCCATACATCAGTATGAACCAACTCTAACTTTTCAGCCTTGGGTGTTTTGCTAATCTTTGCAAAACTGACTTTCTTTTATTTGCCAAAGATGCAATCCTCGCATAGTCCAACATCTACACTCTTTAGATCCAGCAGCTTCCCTTTTGACAAAAGTGTCTTCATCCCTTTATCGCTCATATGGCCAAGCCTTTGGTGCCATAGGTTTGATTTTCCATCAGCATCTGCTACTGCAATGATATTCTCTAAATTTGAGGTTACATAGAGAGTACCAGTATTCTTACCACGAGCAATGACGAGTGCTCCTTTGGTAATCTTCCATTCACAGCCTGAAAAGGTTGTACTATATCCTTCTCCATCAAGCTGTCCTACAGAAATCAAATTTCTTTTGAGTCCAGGAATATGTCTCACTCCTTTCAGCTTCAAGGTGGTCTGGTTTGGCAATTTTAATCGGATGTCTCCTTTTCTGACGATCTTCAAGGTTTCATCATCAACTAGATGAACCTTCCCAAAATCACCACTGATATAGTTTTCCATGATTTCTTGGCATGGGGTGGAGTGGAAAGATGCCCCTGAATCCAATATCCATGATTCAGTTAGACTGTTGACGCTTAGAATCATGGCATCACCTGTCTCCTTTGTCATGTTGGTAGATATTTGTGCGTCGGTATCTTTCTTCAATGCTCGGCAATCTCTTTTAAAGTGCCATTCTCGCCACAATTATAACAAGTAAAATCTTTCTTTCCCGTTCTTTATTTTCCCCTTCTAGATTTCGATCTGCCACGATTTGAATTTCTTTCTGAAGTTCTCCCTGTGGACTCCGTGTGCAAGGCTGAGGAGGTTGATGCTTCACCCGATTCTCTCCGTCAAATTTCTTCACTCAATACCAGATCCTGAACATCGTCGAATTTTAATTTGTTGTTTCCTGACGAGCTGTTGACTGCTGTAACAGTAGCATTCCAACTGTCTGGTAGAGATGATATGAGAATTAAAGCTCGAACTTTATCATCGAATTCAATTTCCACGGAACTCAACTGGATTGTGATTGTGTTGAGCCACTGATGCCCCTTCCGCCATCCGCAAATTGAATAATTGCCTCATCAAATGAAATTTGTTTGAGGCCGATGACTTCTCATACATACTAGAGACAACCGACATAAGAACCACCATGGTCTTTTCCTTTGTTATGTTGAAAGCAATATTGCGGGATAACGTCAGTCGGATAACTCCGAGGGCTTATCTGTCGAGAAGAGCCCAGTCTTCATTCTTCATGCCCTCTGGTTGCTTTCCTGAGAGAGATTGATATAGATTATTCTGGTACAAAAAATCTTCAATCTGCATCTTCCAAAAGCCAAAGTCTGCACCATCGAACTTTTCAATTTTCACATTCCCTTCGTCTGCAGCCATCTCGAATCTAGCTTCGTTTGGATCATTTCTGACAATTCTTGCAAACCACCGTGTATTAGAACACCTCCGTCGACAAATTCGTATCGCCGACCAAAATTTTACTATTCATGAAATTCACTATTCACGTGAATAGTAATGAATAGTAGCCTCGCAAAAAAATTGACAAAATTTACAACCAACCAAAAGCTCTGATTACCAGTTGTTGGGAAATAAAATGAGAACAAGTAATTTCTCTATAACCAGATTAGTGAGAATGCGAAATAAAAGCGAAAAAATAATACCCGAAATTGATAACGGAGTTTAGCCAATTATGTCCACGTCTCCGGACTGCTGCAGATCTTTTACTAAAGATAGAAAATTTACAGGTGTTTACAAAACACTCACTACTCACAAGAAAGCTCTCTAGTATTGGGAGAAAGAAATGATTTGGGATGATTTTGAAGCTAAATGAGCTAGGGTATTTATAGTTAAAGCTTAAGGATTAATCTTGTAAATACCCTAAAGTGTACAGGGACTAAAATACATTTTCCCATTTTTATTTTCAACAAAATTTTCCCACTTACACGAAAAGAACCTTCTTCCAGCAACCTACCAAAAAATTGCTTAATATTCAACAATTGTTGGCGCCACTTGAATTTAACATGGTAGAGAACATTTTCCTCTCTTAAGTTCATTAACTATCGAGGATTGTCCTAAGTTGATTAAGCTACCAATGTTTGGATCTCTAAAAAGACTGAACTTTATAGGAAGTAACATCACTTTACTCCAATCTTTGATGATGAATGCCACTGTTCTTACAAAGCTTTGGATTGGTAAATTACATGAGTTACCAGATGGACTGCTACGAAATCACAATCACCTTGAAGAGTTGATGATTGATAAAAGTAGTCTAAAGTCTTTACTTAATCTGTTTTGATAATTTAATTTCCTTGTCTACACTGTGGATTCCAGGTTGTCCAGAGTTAACCGCATTACCAGGGAGTATCTGACATCTCTCTTCTCTACGATCTCTATATATTTGGCATTGTGAGAGATTAATTTCTCTCCCAAATGAGATACAACACCTCACATTTCTTTCAAAATTGGACATTCTCTATAGTTCTAATCTCATGTCATTGTCACAAGGAGTACGGACCCTCACGGCATTGGAATGTCTGTATGTCAAAGTATGCCCACACTTGAAAAACGGTACGATAAAGATAGACGGGAGTATAAACACCCATTTTTGTCCAGATTTATTATTATTATTATTATATTATTAAAAATATTATAATATATTTGCAGGCTTGGACTCAGAGCCCATTACAAGTACCTGAACCAGAGCAAGACATGAACTGGCCCAATAACACGACCCAAACTTATTAACCTAATAACAATTAGGGTTTCTAAATCCTAAAACACTAAGTAGTTGTCGCAACAGTGATGACTCTTCAGCTCCCGTTGGCGCCGCTCCTCTTCGTGAATGGATCACCGACGAATGACCCCAAGTTTTCGTCGATCAACATGGACGTCATCACTTACGCCAAACATCACTCAAAAGCACAAAAAATACAACAAAATATTAGTGCTCCATTAAACATATTTTAAAATAAAAAAATCTTGAAAAATCAGTAGAATACCCTATCCACTATTCAATATCAGTGGAAGATCCACTACACAACAACTATAAATAGAGGCTCGAACAAAAGAAAAAAGGGGAAGGCAATTTTCGCAGAGAGATTCAAATAGTGAGGTGCTCAAACAAGAAAAAGAGAGAAAATTTCTAGTTTGAAAAAAATAGATAAGGAATGAAGGTACTTACCGAGGAGTGTGGTTCATCGGAGGCTGTGGAACACCAGAAATCGCCTAGTCTCGCTGATTCTTCTAGAGGTAAACTTGTAGATCTACAAATCTATGAGGGTTTTTCGTGTAAACTAGGTTGAGATTTGGTTTAAGGAGGGAAAGATGAATTTTTTGATAAGGGTTAGGTTGCTCTAGCCACCGTCACCGATGAGAGTTGAGAGAAAATGTCTCTCTCTTATCCTTCAGTTTTAAAACTGAATAAAATGAAGTGTTTAGCCAATTTTTGGCTTTGTTTTAGAGTTATATAACGTATCCAAAACGACGTAGTTTTGGAAAAAGACTTGTTTGTAATTTTATTGTGGGTTAATTACATTTAAGAGGCTTCCGTGTTTTATATATTTATTTTATAGTCACCTAACACATTTTATTTATATTGTATTTCACGCATCATATTTTTAAATAGCATTTTTTGGTCACCTTAATATTATTATATGAATTTCATATATATTATAAATTGTTATCTTGATTTATGAAATTTGCATTTTAGTCACTATTTTGCATTTTACATTAAACCTTAAATTTGACTATATGTTTTAATTGCATTATATTTTAGCCTTTAATATTAATGGATTATTTATATTTTCAATACTTACAATATTTAATATTTAATATTTTTAATTTTGGTTTTGGTTTATTGTTCATTTAGTCTTAATTATTTTGTTTTTGTTAAAATGAAATCCTGTAATTATGTTATGAAATTAGGCATATTTTGCTCCCATTATTACTACACATATGTGCATATTATATTATTATATATGTTTTATTACTTATTTGTACACTTTTCATGTAAATTATTAGTTTTTTTAGTTAAAGGATTTTTTAATTAATTAATTTGAAGTAAATTAATTAAATTTCAATAAATAGATCATAATTTAACTTTATATTCAATTTATAAACAACGTGTAAGCGACACAGTACCGATTTTGGGCGTTCTGGGGTGCTAATCATTCCCCACGCGTAAACGACTCTCGAGCCCGCTTTAATCGAATCTTTGTAAACACAAACCAACTTTTGTCTTAAAAAATAATTTTTCTTAAAAAAAATTTTTAAAAGACGTTTTTAGGTATTCGACCTACCTAACCCAAAGTTCAATGGCGACTCCTTTTCAATTTAATTCCAATTAATCCAAAATACCGAATTTTTCAAATTAAAAGTCGTAACTGTTTTTAAAACAACATTTAATTGTTCCACCTAAAAATGGTTATGACAGCTTGGAGACTCCGCTAGGGATTTTTAGAGAGTCAAGCTGTAAGTCGCTTACATATTGTCATTTGGTGGAAATTATGAGTTCGAGTCTTTGGTTAACTTATGATCCTTTTATTGAAGCTTTTAATTACTTCATTTTATTATTGTCTTACTAACATTTTTATTTTTGCTTTCAGATTTGTTCAAGTTTTTGTCGGGAGGTTTCGTTTTTCTTTTAACTCAAAGGTTGAATGTTCCTCCTCACACACATCAAGCGCATTTACATATCATAAGCTCACTTATGAGCTTTGTCCCTTTTAAGTTGAGATGAAAGCTTAGCCTACGTGAGATAATTTGTTTCTCTGCATGAGTTTTAGCAAGTAATCTTTGGGGTTCATATACCTTATGTCTACGTGAGATAAATTGTTTCTCTGTATGGACATAAGGGAATGTATCATCTCAAATTGAACTCGATTCGTACGAGCCTGTAATGGGCCATGATTGAGGGTTTGGTAGCCCAAGAGGGCACAGACATTAAGGACAATTCAAGTACCTTTTTTCCCGTTAGAGCCGAAACCATGCATATAGTGAACCGTAGCATGGTCACCCTAGGTATAACTATACTGAACCTCTGTCCGTTAATAGGTACCCAAATTAAGTGTACACAAAGGAGGAGCATTTCTAAAACTTTTTATTTTATGTTGAATAACAACATGTGAACTAGATATCATACGGTTAGGATTAATTTCTTGAAAATAATTATCTTGGGTAGAAAACATGTTTGGGTAGGATCATTATCTATTTAAAGCATGCCCGGGTGGATATAATGATTGGGTAGGTGTTATATATTTATCTGTAGATAACATCTTTTAATTATATTGTTGATACTAATTCATTTTTCTCTTTTATTTGTAACACTAATTTATTTTGTTTCTTTTGTTTGCGTCATTTTTTATCCTTGTTACATTACATTGCATTTGCATCTTCGCATTCTGCATAATCATCATAAATAAAAGAAAGGTGTTGATTAACCGAGTAATCATCAGATTAGATGAGTGATCATTGAAATGGAAAAGAGTTTTCATAACAAGGAATAACTCAATCTAGCAGTCCGAGCCTGGTCGGAGGAAACACAAAAAGTAAAAGGAGATAGTTTGCCTGAAGGTTATGTATCGCAGTTATCCACGGATGTCAATATTAATTTCAAGCAGAACGATTTACGAGAATTGAGAGAGATCTGGGAAACACGGAGAATACCGACCAAAGAGAGGTTCTACAAAAAATATGGTGACATAACTCAGGTCCTTTATGTAAAGATAGAGGAACCATTGCTCAAAGCTCTAGTCCAATTCTGGAACCCTGTGTACAATTGTTTCACTTTTAACAGACGGGATTTGAGACCAACAATCGAGGAGTATACAGCTCTGTTTAACTTCAAAAACATCCAAGTGGATAAAGTTTATTCCAGACTATTGAAAGTTCAATCCTTCAAGAATAAACTGGTAAAGATTATCGGTACAGGTGAAAATTAGATAGTACAACACATTCAACAAAAAGGAGAAAACGAATGATTTCCTTGACATTGTATTAAGAAAGTGATACTCGAGCATATAGATGAAGATAAGAGGTTGGACACCAGCAGTGATATTTCCAAAGACTTTGTTCTATGTGGAAAGTGATATACATGGCTCTTGCCATGTATGGTCTAGTGATATTTCCAAAGACTTTGTTCTATGTGGAAAGTGTTGTCACAGATTTCTTTGACACATTGGAGAAGGGTATAAATCCAGCACCAGCAGTTTTGGTAGAAACTTTCCGATCCCTAAATAATTATCGTAGATTAGAAGGGGGTCGATTCATAGTATGTGCTTAACTACTCACTGTATGGATTCACAGTCACTTCTGGAAAGAAGACAAGGTATCATATCATCGCTTATTTACGGTGTCCTCGCCTTTGAAAGAATTTATAAGTAAAGAGTGGCCAGAAGGGTTACCAAGGAAAATATGGATAACAACTTTCAGTAATTTACAAGACCGAGATATTGGTTGGTGTGTTCTTTGGCTTGGATATACCAATATTTTATTTAGATGTGGAGATCTTGACCATGTCCCTTTGCTGGGATTATGGGGAGAAGTCAGCTATGCCCCATTAATGGTTGTCAGACAATATAGAGCTGGCCAATTTGTTCCAGTTACAAGCGGCTTGAATGAATCTGAAATCACTTTCCATGGAGACCATTACAGGAAGAAAGCACGGGATCTATCTCTTGCTTGGAAAAAAACTTTTCGAACAAGAGTTGTTTCTGGAGATGTTATGTATACACTAGACTATGAGGTTTGGAAATTTACAAGGACAAATGAAAATGTCCCTTTGCCAGATCCAGGAAGAAATATCCATTGGGAAGAGCTTATCAAGGTGGTACATTCACAGGATAAGATTCTTACTGCTGAGTTTGAAGCTGAAAGGAAAAAATGGGATAAAACAATGGAAGAGGCAAGACAAGAAAAGTCCATGATAGATCTTGATAGGGGTCTCCATGTTAAACAATTTGATTTGTTGAAGAAAGATAAAGAGAAAGTCTATCTCGAGCTGGCTGACTTAAAAAGGGAATATCGTAATCTACAAAAGGTAAAGGTGTTTGGATCTGGAAATACATCACAACAATGGGCTAAAGAGTTGGCAATTGAGAGGCGACTAGTTCAAAGTCTGGAAGCCGAGAATAAACGTCAACTTAGGAGAATTGAAGTCGAGAAGAAATTGAGGGA